TTATAGAAACTTGATGTGGCTATATTTTATTACATTTGATTCCGTATCTTTCCTTTATCATCTAAGCTATGAAATCTCTTTAATAAGTACTTGGTAATTAAGCTTTTATTCAAATATTTCTTTTATTTTTTTAGCTTTCTTCCAAATTATTATTGATAATACTTTGCTTTTTGAATATTGTTTTTAAAGTACGCCATTCTAAGTCATTGGTTTGTTTTATTTCCTTCATTATTTTACTTTTATTATAATCATCTACTGTTTTCTCGAAATGGCTCGCGATCTAATTGCTTTTTATTTATTACTTGATAGTCCTCTTGGTTGTTTTCTCGATCGATTTTTCCTAATGGTCATTTCAGTGTTTTGGCCAATTATCATTAATTCATAATGGATTATTAGAGACTTAACTATTCTATACTATTATTGTCTTAAATATAATTACAGATAGCTCAGTTGGATAATTCTAATCAATGGACAGGGGAAGTTTCACAAATAAAATCATTTTTTTGTAAATTCGTATATTTAAAACAGAATATACGTTACCGTTAAATCTGGTCAATATCGAAGGGACATCGTAAGCCTCTTGATAAACGGCAGGTTATTTAGCAGAAACCTTTGAGTATTCTCCTATTTCAAATATTTTGTCTAGTTTCTTGCCTTCATGATGATATTTTTTCCCTTCTACTCTTATATTACTTCAGAGCCCGAATGGGTCAGTGTTAATCTTGGTGTTCTCATCTGCCTCGAGTGCTGTGGTACGCATCGAGAGCTTGGTGTTCACTGTTCTCGAACACAGTCGCTTCTTATGGATGACTTGGGCACTAGTCAATTATTGGTATGATAAATTTTCATTCTATACACACAATAGTCGCACATCCTTGACTATACTATGATGCACTTACGTTTTTCTATCTATATTTCTATATATTCCTGTGAATGTAATTGCACACAAAATGCACATCTACATAAAGACTAATATATTTGTAGATATGAAGACCAAGATAATGTGGCGTTCTGTTTGTCCTGGTTTCCTTTAGCCTTATAATGCTGGTTCGACCTTGTTTTGGCAACTTGTTCGGAGCGTCAAGAAGACATTATTGAACGTACTTAGTCCCGTGTCCTCTGCCATAGTATTCGTTATTTCCAGCATTGGACTTGGTACATTCTCAAACATTTCGCCGGCAACGTCAGTAAAGTCGTCATCGAAAGCATATAGCTACAACTTATCAAAATGACAAGCGAATCAATCCCCTTGACCAATTTTCTGTTCAACCATTGTATTAGAATGTAGAACAAAAAAAAGGGACGCAATGTGATGCCACAACTGTTGAACAGACATTTGGTCAATGAGATTGCTTTCACCTGCAGCTTTGTGTTTACGATGGTGCTGACGATGCCGGCGAAACGTTTGAGAATGTATCAAGTCCACTGTCAGATGCTGGGAATCGTGACAACTACTATGGCAGACGACTTCGGATTAGGTGCGTTCTACATGGTCTCCCTAAAAACTAGACCAAGTTGCGACAACGAGGTCAACCCACTTCTATAAACTTGGCTTAATTCGTAATTTTTTGCCAGATACCCCGTTTCTTGTAATTTTCATCTAACTTATAAATGAAGGAGATCTAGCAAGCCTATGAAACTTGAACTGCTCTTCCTTTCTGTTTCAAAACTAATTTTTCAGTAGTTGTTACAACAATGTTATCATCTTGTTATAAGTTAGACGAGTCAGATGGATGTTTACCGCAAAGCGGCCAAATCCCTGTCAAGTTAACGCAATCTTCATTTCTAAATGAATAAGCATTTCCACTGCAAACAACAGAGATCGAAACTGGTCCATTACTGCATGTGCGTGTACTATCATTTATTTGTAAGTAAAGCCACGCACTAGTTGTAAGTAGCCAAATTATTTAATTCACTTGCCTTCGCATTAACAATTTTCTTATTTTTGATGTCTTATCAAATTCTCCTCTTAATCCATTCTACGTTTTACCAGCAACTGCCTGCTTACCCACTTTTTATTTAGTTTTCATTATATTTCTTTTCCCTTTTCAGACTGGTTGATTAACTTTTTTATTTTGAGGTTTACTATTCTTATACTCATTATCCTTTCCTTTTTCTCCTCCCTCTTTGATCCTGTTCCCTTCCTATCCTTATCAAATTTTATATTACTGTCTTCCTTCATTTTCAGCCTAACCCCAACCATCAGATATACTAATGCTTCTACTAAAATAATTACCACAGCCAGCACTAACATAATAACCATCACCAGTATCGTATTTACTAGAATCACCAACACTTATTATCGTCATAATTAACACTTGTAAGTTCTGCGGATATTAGCATTCTGACATTGCTCGCATCTGTCCCTAAAACTCTCTAGTCCTTACATATATATATATATATATGTTTAGTATTGCCGTGTAACCCTTATTTTTTTAACACCTGCATTAATTTCAGGTTCGTAATACAGGAGATATTTATAGGCAGAATTTTCAAAAATAAATTTCTTTACTCCATCTGTCGGAAATTACACATTTACTTTATTCTTAGGAAAATTATCCTCCAATAGGTTTAGAAAAGCAGGATAATATGTTTAAAAGAGTTTTAAATCATTACACAATTTCCTAAATTATACACGCCTTTATATTATTGTTTAGCTTTTTTTATTCTCTAATAATTGCCTGAGTCATAATGGTCCGAGTTTATTATTTCATTTTATTAGATTTTTTTTTCTAATGATTTCTGCTGCTTACATTCAAGACTATCTATTAAGACTAATTTTCTAGTAGCTTAAATAATTTTTACGATATCTTGCAATGTCTCCAAAAATATTAGAAATTTTAATTTTTGTCCATCTTTATAGTTCTTTTTCGGGTTATTTTTAAGGACATTAATTATGCATCATTGTTGGATATATCAGTATTCGGCGAATAATTCTTATTGGGATCGAGTAGGTTTTATAACTACCAAAAGTTCTCGAATAATGGTTGTAGTTATCTTAGGCTTTTTGAGAAGATTAAGGATTGTAATCGAGACTAGATAATTTAGCGTATAATTTCTATTATTGCTCATCAAACCGCGTAACTTATTCATATCCTTAGACTACCCTAAGTCATTCAGCCATTTACTCACATTTTTCATTTTTTATTTGCATAGCTGAGTGCTCTAGCTAGATAGATTCACTTTAATATTTGATTGACAACATATAACTGATCTATCCTGATTTCTAATATATTTTTCGTCCTACTTTCATTGCATGACCTCTTCTGCCTCTTACTATCTTGTGCTTCTCCTCTACTTTTATTTTCTTTAAGTTTTTACCAATCTCCTTACTCAGGCTTTACTTTATTCTACCTATTTCCAATTCTAAAACGTGTCTTTTAGATATGCATTTGCTAAATTTCTCCGTCTTCCTTTACAATTTGTCCCATAGCTTCCCCGATTTCTTGGCAACCATCTCTTCAACGAAATATTTGAGTCCTCGCTTACATCTGGTGCCAAGCCCCTGGCTCATGATTCTTGTGGCAAGTAAGTCGATTCTTGATCTTTGCTAGCTATAGTACAATTGTTCATAAGATACTTTGCACTCTTTCTAAATAATTTGCTCATGCTTTCTTGGATTCAAGTCTGTGTTTTTTCTCGTTTATATCAACATATATAATAATACCTTTTTAGGCTTATTGTTAAACCTTAATCTTTGCCTTTTGCTAAAATTAAATCATGTTCTACCTATTGTTAGGGATTTTTACGAATTATTTATTTTTATTTCGTAAGTAGACAGGTCGGATCTGTTTGAGATTCTGGATTGACTTTTCTACTGAATCCGCATT